GGAGATGGTTAGCTCATTCCTGTAGCTGTTACTGCTGCCACTCTTGAAGGGATTTTTATTTGCTTCAAACTCATATCTACATGTGTGTCTTGTAAGATGACCCTCTGCTAGTCAGGAGAACCCACTGCTGCTGCTGTTTGTTCATTAGTCACAATCTAATGAGCCTTTGGTCTGCTGTGGTGAGAGACCCACAGAACTGCAAGTAGTCCTCAGATTTAGAAGTTCCATAAAGGCACTGGTGACAGGCAAAAGCATTTGTTGCAGAGGTTAACAGTGATCCACCAACAGAAAATAATACACAATCCTAAATTAATGTTTTTGTGGCACCATCATACTTTAAGCCAGAGACCAAACCTCACTGCATCCCAGCTGGAGGCTCATAATGCTGCATTTTTATCATGGTCCCAGCTATTTAATTCCATAGAGATACTGCCCTAATCTTGCTGGGAAAAGCTCACATGAAATGTACTGACTGACCCCCAGAACAGCCTCTCACCTGGATACTCGACCACAGGTACTGTAAATGAATGGTTCTGTTTTGCACATAGCAGTAACAGTTTTCATCCTGCTTCTGGATGACATCCATTTCCTGCAATAAGCTGCAGTTTTTACCTGGGGGGAGCAAAAAAGTTAATTTTAGGCATGTGTCAAATACAAATGTCTAATTACAGTCCATTTCATTGTTGTAAATGCTGACAGAAACATGTTCAATGTGATTTAGATGGAAATTCACATTGGACTTCTAATCAAGTCATTTAGGCACTAAAGTAAACTGTGACACCTTTGAGGAAAAAAAAAAAAAAGAAAAAAACCCCAACAAAACAGGGTGGTATTTTTAAAAAAATGTAATCCAGAAAAGCTTGGCTTCAGCGTCAGTGTTTTGATGGCACTGGAACAGGGCCTCTGGGCCAAATTCACTGCTGGCATGAGTGGGTGTAACTCCACCAGAGTTCCCTGTACCAGTGGTGAATGCAACTGTGGGAGTCTGAGCAGGTAAACAGACTTACATATTAACACAGTCATTTAGCACATGACACGGCTGCTGATCACAAAAGTCATACTCCTCTCCCTCAGAAATGTTTCTGATGTTAAATCACACAACTCTTCTTTTTGGAACACTTTTTCTCCTGTCCCAGTCCAGCCATGGCATGTAATAAGGAAACTGCACTGACAGCTCACCATAAATCGTTGAATTAGAGGTGTGAAATATTCTAATTGTGAATTGTTCTAACCCTCCTGAAACCTTAGTGAGCCCCTATGATCTCCAGAATTAAGATTACACTTTTGAGCAGAAATGGACCTAAAAGATTAATAGTGCAAAGTTTTACATACATTCTGATCTATATACATTGTAAAATATACCCTACAGTGCATTACCACACTGTTTCAAGAACATAATTAAAGAGAAGCATAGAGGAAATAATTACACATCCGAACAGAGGGACTCATCTAGCTTACTGAACAGAAAATGTAGGTCTCAGCCAAGCTCAGTAATAACTGCTAACATGCTGTCATGCACTCACAGCAGCACAATGGGTATGTGCAGTCTCAATCCAGACAAGGAGATGCTGTTTGCAGGTAAAAACCTGCTGTGTCTCTATAAGAAAGATGAAATTAAGCTAAATTATATTTTAACAAATTTAATGAAGCCAATGAAAAATACTGTGTGGATGTTCTTGCTTAGGTTTTTTATAACATTACAGAATTATTGTCCACACATGAACCTACTAAACTGGTTTAACCTTAAAATTTGGGCTTTTTTTCTTGTGGAAAAATTACCCATCGGATTAATTTTCATCCATGGCAAATCCAGTGGGAGGGAGCACAACCACTCGGACAAGCACTGGCTGTACCTTTAGAGAGGCACTTTCACAAAGTCATCGCACGATGCTACAAAAGGATTATTTGTCACTGACGTGCTGAGACTGACGCAGCAAGGAGGTGAGGCTGGGCACTACCCAGCCTAAAAGCAGGATAATCCAGCGACAGGAAATGGCAGGGCCAAAACACAGCCCAGAGTGTCCACACCTCCCCTGAAGGGCATCTTAGGATTTCCTGCCACTATGGATAAAAGTATCCATCCTTGTCAACGGCAATGTCATCCACGTGCAAGGCTGGCAAGTATTTTCTTACTACCCATAGTTTTAAGGTATTTTTCTTGAGAAAAAAATCAGCTGCTTGAGATGTTGCATCAGCTCCACAGAGTGAAACAATGGTGCTCCAAAAGGAGAGATGCTTCTGAATGGGTATCTCTGAGGTGGTGCTGGGTTTAGCTATTGGGAGGACACACAGGGGGAGTAACTCTCAAATTCTGAGACTCGAAGCAAAGAAATTCGAAATTATGAGCCACCAGCATCTGCTGCAAAATCCGGAGGACGCCCAAGACTCGAGAACGTCAATGCAAGGAGGAAGCCGGTTCTCGAGTTCCTAATTGCTACTACAACTGAGCACAGCCTGTAGGGGTTTGCCTGCCCTCAACTATGTTAACAAAAGATCTGTTCTGCAGCCGATTGCCCTGGCCCGAGCTCCTGAGGGAGTCGCACACCCAGAGGCAGCTCCCGGCGCCGCCCTTTGTGCGCCGCGGTCCCTTTGTCCGTGTGCGCCCGGGCCGGATCACAGCCGGTTCCCAGCGCCCCTGCCCGCCGGGGCCGTCCTGCGGGAGGGACCGGGAGCGCCCCGGGACAACAGGGGCACACGGCAAAGCGCCTCAGGCCGCGGCTGCCCCGGCTCGTTGCAGCTGCCGGCGGGGCCAGGGGCCCGGGCCCGCCGGCCGGGCAGCGCCATGTTGGGCGGCAGCGGAACCGCGGGGCGCAGGGACAGCGGGAGCGGAGCGTGTCCCCGCTCCCGAAGGGATGGGCGGAGGAACCCCGGCCTGGGAGCACCCGCCCTGCCCCGGGGCCGGGGGGGACGGGCAGTACCTGCTGGCGGCGCCTCCCCGCTGCCCGCGGCCGCCCCGGGCAGCGTCGCGGCCGGCGAAGGGCGGGGCACGGGCGGGGCGGCCCCGCTGCCCGCTCCCCCCGCGGCCCGGGCCGGGCTCCACCCGCGGCACCCCGGCCTTGTGCGGGGCTGAGGGCCCGTCTGCAGGGTCACACCCGCCCTCGCCTTCCGCGGGGTTGAGAGGGTGCAGTTGGAGAGGACGAAAACCATCGAAGGTAACAGCTCAGCCCAAAGCGTGTCCTTGCGTTGTGATCCCCTCAGAGTGAGAGCTGCCCTGTAAAGGTGTAAAGCAGTTCCAAAGCAAACGTGGACAGCTTGTGACACTTGCAGGCAGCCCAGGCGGTCACCCAGCTGGACGGGAGGCGGTGGATGTGCTCCTTACACACCCTGCTCCCAGCCCCAGGGAAAGGTCGCCAGGTCACCCGGGTGCCGGCGAGAAGCGGTGACACAGAGCTATACATTCATTTTTCAGCCCCTCTGTTCCCTCAGAGAACCTGCCTGAAGGAAGTGTTGTTGGATGTCGTGGTGGAGGTGAACATGCACAGCTATTCTGTATTTCCTGGGCAGCCACAAGGGAGAGCCAGGAGCAGGACACCGTTCCCCTGCCAGCCCTGTGGAGACGTGAGCGAGGTCCAACTCAGCTCAGTCCCAGCTTGCTCACTGCAGTCATTTTAGATCGCTAGTGAGTCACAGTCAGCAGTCAGGGGTGGAAAGGGCTGGAGCTTTTTTCCCTATTCTATGAAAATCAATAAACACAATTTTGCCAAGGCATTCTGGCATCACTGTTGTCTATTTTTATACTGAGCCCTACATTTGGCTTTTCCAACCTACTTGCTTTGCTCCAGTGCGTTCCCTTCCTTGTTCTTAAAACAATGCCCCTTCTCTGCGTGAAGGTTGCTTTTAGTTTTTATTGTTTAGGGCTGTATCCAGCTTCTGGGGGTGCCCGGATGGGCTTTTTTAACACCTGAAGGGTGCTGCCCACTGCCTCGCACCTTGTCTCGGCGCTTACATCTGCAGGGAGTGGGTGGTGCAGGGCTGTGGCTCTCCTCGCCTCACCTCCTACGCCCGCTTGGTGCTGGCTGGGCTCACATCTAACTGTGGATTTTTTCCTTGCAAACACTGAGGAAGTGAAGGATAAGGGCAAAAATAGTTGGGATTTGATAGCATGTGCAACATCTGACAAACTTGAGTTCCTAAAGGAAGCAGTAATTGATTTATATCTTTGTCTTTATGTAACTTGGGTGTTGTCTCTATGTAACTTTCCAGTCACTTCCTCTAGCAAATTAAATAAGGTAGAAGTACTGGGATTTGTTTCTTGGGTCCCTGATAAACCCTTAGGAATATGTTACCTCTCAGCTGTGTGTCTACACAACAAGGGACCAAGTTATTAGAGGAATCCCTCTCACATTTTCAACTTGCCATATTTTTTTGGTTATGTTAACCTTCTTGACAGTATTTTTTCTGGGAAGGGAGACACTCTGCATTCAGTTCTCGCTTGTATTTTCATTTTTAGAGCCCTTAGCACTTCACCGCTAATTAACTTTCAATAACTGTCGTAGGGTTACAGTTAGTCAGCATGAATCAGACAGAAAATGTAGCTTTAGGGGACCACACTCTGTCAAAAACTATTAGAAACCTTTGCTTGATTTCCGAGGAGAATATACTCGCTCAAGCAGGATACGGCAGCTATTAGGCAGCGTTCTACTGCAGCAAGAAATCCTCAATAAAAGAGACTCAGTGGTTTTGGTAACAGCCCTCCTTGCAGGGTGGCTCTGAGTAATTATGCAGCATTTTCCTTTCTTCCCGTTTGTTTGTCTGATTCCCTAAATGGTGGTGGTGGTTTGTAGGCCAAAGCTGGGGTTCTGAGCTTAAAGGCTGTATTTTCACCTGTTTGCTCACAAATATAATTCAAAACAGGGGGAGAAAGGGGACGTCACTTAGAGGGGCAGGCCACCTCTGCCCTTCTCAGGTGTTTTCAGCTGTGGAAATTGAGTGAGAACTGCTTTTGGCTGGGAGCACTCAAGGGAAGACTTGGCTGTGGCAGGGAGCAATGCTGTTGGGCCCAGCGATGAGTGACATTCCTGGGATGCAGGATGCAGAGCTCTCAAGCTCCATGCATGACAAACTAGCATTTTAATAATGGGGAAGGAGGAAGGGGAGCAGTGCAGAGCCATGTCCGCAGCATGTGTTTTCCTCCCAGGCTTTTGGAGTCCTGTCACCCCATACACTCTGACCCCTAAAACACTCAACATCATCCATCTAGGTGTATAAAAACTGCCTGCAGTGTTAGATGGGATACCAAATCCTCTCGATGCTGTTAATCCATGTTTTTCCACAAGGGCCCCAGGTGCTCCCTGCTGGTGATTTTTTTGGCCTGTGCAGCAGGAACAGGCAGCAGCTGTGTAAGGTGGGGAGGGAGCTCCCCTGTGCTCCCCAAACCCTGCCTGCCTTGGGTTCTCATGCTGTTGGAGGCAGCTCCTCTTCCCTGCAGCACCTGCAAGGCTGGGCTGAGGAGAAGGCACTCCAGTCTCATTCCCACCCCACGAGGTAATGCTCATTGCCCACTTACAGCCTGCTCTTTACTTTCTAGCAGAGCTAATAGAGGCTTTCAATTTCCAGGTGTGCTGTTAAAATCTCAACACGCTGCTCTGGATGACTAAGGATGCTTCCTCTGGTTTATTTAATTTTTCTTTTTTCCCCTTTGCCCTCCCTTCCCTCTCCTTACGTCAGCAGTGGGTATAATTTGTTTGCAGAGTTCCAGGGTGTTTCATCTTTCTTTGGCTAGCCCCAAGTGCATGGGGGTTTGTTGAAGCAACAGCATTCTTGATTTCTTAGAGCTGGTATGTGGGTGTTGGATTGTGTCATTCGTAGGAGGTGAACGTCAAAGGAAGCGGGATCAACTCCTGGAGGTTGGTAAGCCAGGTACTTAATATTTGGTTTCCTGGAAAAGCAAGGAAAAATAGCAAAACAGGCAGCCTTTGAGTGTTTAGTTTTCCCATGTATTCAGATGAACACAATACCTATGCATGCTCAAGAACAGTTTGGGTTGGTTTTGGTTTGGTTGGGTTGGTTTTTTGCCCTTGGTTTATTCAGGATGGAGAATGACTGTATTTTCCTTCAGACAGTTTCACATGTTTTGGTGGATTCTGTTGAATGTTTATTCCAGTAATACAAATAATTTGTGTTCTGTTAGTGCCCTCACAAATAATGCAATTCATTATCAGGTACATTATGTTGTCTTTTTATTTGATGTAAAATGGTGTCTTTGAGTTAAATTTAGACAGAAGAGCTATTTGAGACTATTTTGTTCATCTGCAACTGGTTGTTTTTTTTTTCAGAAGTGCATTAGTCTGAAGTATTTCATGGGCAAAATACTGAGTTATTTTGGGGACAGACAAATTGTCTACAAAAGTATAGCTGCTTATTTTTACAGTAGTTTTATGGAAATCGCTGCTTTATTTGACAAGTATAGATACCAAGCTAGATAGAAAATTCCAGCAGAATACTTTCTCCTAAAATGCTCTAGGGAGCAGGTATCTCTTGCAGTCCTTGTTCAGGCTAAGCTTAAAAATTAAATAGGACACAGGTGCCCATTAAAAAAATTATTTATCCATCTTATGGTTTAGGCAAAAGGACTGTAGCAGCTTTCTTGGCATTTCCCCTTATGCTTGTTTTCCCATGTCTGTCAAAGGGATCTATAGGTCAGGGGAAAGAAAGCTGATGGTGAAGTGTTCATGGAAGGACTTTTCTGTAATCACTGGAAAAACAGTCCTTCCCTCTGGCTTCAGCAAAGCATTGTGGTGTAAATTTATGGATCTCATTGATATTTCTCCCAATTTACACAACAGTAAGCAGTATGTAAGCACAACAGTAAGCTAAGAAGCAGTGGGCCTTAAATATTTATCTGGTTTATTTTTAGAATGGCAGTTGCAGCTATTTATAGAGCAAGGAAGCAGTGATACAAATCTGACTGGATTCCTTCTTTGCTTTGAATCTGCAAGAGAGAAGCAGCTGGGGCTTTTTGACCACGAGCTCTTATTTATTATGTTAAATTTTCACTGATTAATAGCTTATAGGCTTCATTTTCCAAGAACCTCTGAACCTCTGCTTACAAGCACAAGGGATCTTGTTCCCTCTGTAAAGGAGCATTGATGGAGCCTAAGAGCAGCTGTGAGAGTGCCCTGTGCTGCTGTGCAGCACTAATACCTTACATGGATTTATCAGTGGGGAACGGTCCCAAGAGAAAACACATTTATGGTGGGTCACTGCTTACCCATAAAAGCCCAGAATGGAACATGTTCTCCTGTGGGAGGCTGTGCTGGATGTGGGATGGGTGGATGGGGGTGTAGCTGTGAGTGAGCCTGGGTCTGTGCCAGTGTGCTGGGGAGGGACGCTCCCTCTGGGGAAAGCAAGACTAGGCTGGTGGATGGAGATGCCAGAAGAGAGCATGCCAGTAGTATGTGCTGACTCAGAAATCAGCACTCTGGGCTCTTAGGCCACTGGTTGATGCATGGCTTAGCTTAGTAATTACCTAAATCTGTTGTTTCCTGTTGATTCCAGATGGTTTGGGATCTACCACTGGTGTTGACATCCTGACTGAATCTCAGACTCCTGGGCTTCACTGCAGCTGGACAACCCTCACCCCATACAGAGAGGCAGGTCAGCACCTGGCAGGACCAGTTTTATTGCTGCATCCCTCCTGTGGAGAAAGAGGGCTTGCCCACTCTCATGAACTTCAAAACATCATTCTGTATTTCATTTAAGAACAAGCCTTGAGAGCCTGGGAAGGAAAGAGAACTAACAGAAGTAGTCAACCCCCTGTGTTTGCTATGAGAAACCACAGAAGGTGGTATGGTTTTGTAAGGAGGCAATGGGAGCAATGTTTTATTTATGGATAAGTGCATGTCTGTCTGTCTTGTGCCTTCAGATTTATCTTTATACTGACTGTTGTTTCTTGTTTCCACAATTTATACAGTAGCCTTCAGTAATTGTCCTGGGATTTGACAAATCACTCTTGGAAGAATGAATTGCTAGTACTGTTAAACAAACGTGAAAAGAATTATTCTCTTTCCAACATTTCTTGAAATTAAATTTTAGCCCTGGTGTGCTCAACTACCTTCAGGATTAATCTCTGTCAAAGGAGCCTGTCAAGCCCTTTTAGATCAAAGGAGGCTGTTTTCTATTAAGAAGGTTCTGATGATGTTTTCCAGCTCTCGGGTACAACACAAAGGCAACCTGTGGCTCTCCACTGCTGTTTGACCCATTAAGTGTTTGAGTGTCTTGCTGCTTCCTATTTTCTTTGTGTGGGCTCTGCCAGGTCCAGCTCAGGCAGGTGGTCATTGGCACAGCCATAACCAGGCACCTCCAGCCTACCTGAAATATCTCCTTGCTCATCTGGTCAGGTTGTTGATGGTTCTGTTCACAGCTCGCTGTTCCTTGCGGACGCACCGCTGAACTCCTGCACCCGCGTGGAATCCAGCTTGGCATGCTTCCCCTCCCTTCCCAGGATGCCTGGCCTTTTTAAATTCCTACTTTTCCTGCTTTCAGATACAGCCCTCTGTCATTGCACATTTTCTGTGCACTTCTGAACAGGCTGCTTACTGACTTTTTTCTCCCTCACCAGCTCAGAATTTTTTGACTGCTGCATTTGTTCTATTTGAATATAAACATGGGAGAGACAAAGAAATAAGTGCTATGGAATGATTAGGTAGAGATATGCCAGTGGCTTTGCCTGATTAATGGATTTACATTGTACATTACTCACAGGCAGCTTTCCAATGTCTTTCTTTAAAACAAGGTAATTTGTTTCAAGGGCTATCTTTCTGTAAAATGCTGATAAGCGAGCCATACTTGGTGCATGTATGGATGTCTAGGCAGGCAGAGCCAGGATAGGATGTACAGTCATTTTGCCCCTGCTAGTCACAGCCATTCCTGCAGGTACTTGAGGAATGCAGGATGTGCCCCAAATAGATTTTAACAAATATTCCCTGATGGAGTCATTTCAGCCTCTCTTGACATCCGTACTAGCTCTTGCTGACAACAACAGGATCTTTGTGACAGCGACTGCAGCAGAGTACAAATGCTTTTCTTCTCCTTTCGTGCCAGACAGCAAGTGAAGGTAAAGACTTGCTGTGCTGACTCAGAGGAAAGGTTAAACAAGCCTGGGCTCCTGCCTCTGACAGTGGCCAGAGAATCTTCAAGAAAGTCACAGAAGAAAACAAGCACTTTTCCCTGATTCATCGTCTTCACAAAATGAGTATTTCCAGCTCTGGCATCTATTCTGACAGGATGAGAAAGGATTACTTAAAGAAATAGTGTGGCAAGGTGAGGAGAGAGGCTTTCTCTTCAAAGTACGGGGAGGGTTTAGTTTTCTGATCTGGTGCCAAATGCAACAAAGGTACTTGCCAAATGCCCTTGCAGTAGGACTTGTCCAGGGGCTTTACAGCTTTGCACCTCTCTCTCTTTCTGTGTCCTGCTGCTCTGATTCTGTTGGAGTCAGTGGGATCCTCTGGTGCTGAGCCTGAGTGAAAATCTGGCTTCTCCTGGCTGCAGGGCACGTCTCCAGAGTGTGAAAGAGCAGGAGAGCCCAGTTCATGCCATTAGCAGGGCAAGGTGTTAGTGAGAGCTCTAAGTTCTTCTTGGCTGTTTGGGACTGGGGAAGGACACATCCTTCCTGCTGAGCAGGGAGACAGCCTGGTTTATCTACTGTCCAGTTTACCACAGTGTGGAATGAGAACACCTTCTGAAAGTGTGAGGGGTGATGCTGGGCTGGTCCCTGTGGTTCCTACCATCTTCTCAAGACCAGCCTTGTCTCATGTTCCAGTTTCCTCTGGATGTGGAGCCATGGTCAGTGTTGTTATAAATCTGCCAAAGGTTGTGGCATCAGTACCAGGCTCCTCTGAGGAACAGGTGCTTGGAGGAGCCTGGCTCAGGATTAGGATGCTGGATTAGATATGCATATAATGCTGAAAATACACTAGAGATGCAGGCACAAGAGTGACTCCAGGTTGAAAGTCAAAACTCCTTTTCCGAGCACTTCCAGCTTTTTTAATTGCACAGCATTCCTCTGACCTTTCCAGTTCTATACTATGGATATGAATGCACAAGGATATAAAATATTTTATGTCAGTGTTAAAGTTAACTGGAGACTGAGCTTCTGGCTTGGTTTTTTTTCTTTCACTCCTGAAAAAAAAAAGCTGTTTTATAAGCTGTTAATTTCAAAAACAGCATGGTCTGGAAAAAAAGAGCTTTTCTTCTGTTATTAAACTTCAAGTCTGTTCCCAGAACTGTATGTCCAAAGGAAAGCATCCCTAGGCAGGTGTTATTTGCCAGCTGACTTGGACCTTTGACACTTCCCAGCTCTGAGCAAGCTTCCTCAGTGTGGAGACATGCCAGAGTGAGCTTGCAAACACCCTCCCCTGCTTCAAAGGAGCTCCAACAGCAAACACACCAGGGGATGCTGCCAGCTCCATAAGCCAAACACGCTGCAGTCTGAAGAGGTCAGGAACAACTTAGACACACCTGGAAATACTCATAGAGCCCTTGGGCCTCATCATGATTGCTCAAGGTGTCCAGCAGCTCTGCAAACATTCAGATGGTGTCTGAGCCAGGCAGGTGTGGCTTCAGCAGCTTGTGTGCCCAAATAAACTCAGCAGGCTGGAATCACACAGCTAACGCTTGTCCGTTTGTTAATTTGTTTTTATTTAAGTGTCTATAATCCTTGTAGGGAGATAAGATGCTGGCTTTTCCAGGTATCCACACGTAGAAAGGACAGGGATAAAAATATCTACAGTTGTGTTCAACAACAGCAGGAAAAAGCAGCTCCTGCTGGCATCAGGCCAGGGCAGAAACATCCTACTCCACAGGCAGGTCTCTGCTCCTGCCCTTCCAATCCACACTGCCTGTGGTCAGCAACAGCATCTTCCAGCCCAAAACACCCATGTTCACTGAACTGGTCGTGTGTGGCCACAGGATGCCTTAAGACAGAGTATTGCCACTTGCTGAGAATTAAGAAACTTCTAAAACATCTCTAAGTGGCCAAAACTTGCAGTGCTCTAAATCATTGTTCTGTAGGCATGTATTGCTCTGCAAATGTTCCCTGTTGCTGGTTTTGCTTCCAAGCTGTGCATCCAAGCCAGGTGCTATATTAGTTTCTTTTGCTGTGAGTCATAGCACCACAGCCCTGAGAGAGACCATTGCTACATCCACTGAAAATGGAGGCTTCAAGCCTTTGAAGAAGAAAAATGTGGAAAATTGTGGAACGGTGACCCATTGTGTGCACAGAACTTAAAAAGATGGGGAAACAGGACCAGGGAAACTGTGGGGGAGCTATGGCTGGGGTGTTCCTCAGCCCTTTCCTGCAGAAAGATGGAACACATCTGGGTCCACTGAGTCCCTTTATTTGAAGGATAATTAACTGTTGAGCTTTGAAGTCTTACCTGGGTGGCTAACGTGTGATTAGGTTGCCCAGCAGTGGGGCTGAGTGCTGAGATGTTCCACACTGGGTTTCCACTGCTGTGGAACACAACACTCTGGTTTTCCACTGTGGTGCTGCAGCTGGGACCAGCTTTCAGTGGGGAACCAGAGCAGCTGCTGCTGCTCTTGTTGTGAGCACTCATAAATGGAATTTGCTCCCTCATGAGAAATATCGATGACATTTAAATTGTTTTGATGCAAAGCAATGGTGTTACAGCTACTGTGCTGTTTCTGATTTAGTAGGATTTATGTTTCCAGTGTGGCTAAGAGGTAGTCAGTGCAAACCGTGCTGTAGATTGTTTGATGTTCCTCAGAAGCAGATGTTTTTCAGTCAGGTCTCTTGTTCCCTGATGCTGCAAAACACCATGACCTTCCCTATCCAAAGGCAGCATTCCTCCCTTGTTCACTGCTGGTATTTGCAGGAAAGAAATTCTTCAGTTTCAGGCTGAAATAATTCCTCCCCATTTGTTTTCAGCTGTATGTTTTCAATGTATTGGGGGCAGAATGTCAGACTGGTATTGTGTGGGGCATGGCACGTGGATCTGCAGGACCATTTTGGTCTTAGAGGCAAGTAGGGATCCTGAAAGCCCTAAATGGCACAGGGAGAAGGTGATGCCAGGACTAGGCAGAGTGAGGGTCAGGCAATGCAGTGCCTGACCATCCATATCCCATCCCAGCATGGATGGGATATGGATGAGCTGGGCTTAAAGAGTCTTGGTTTGGCTATTAGTCCTCTCAAGTGAGGCTTGACTATAAAATCATGACCCTCAGGCAGTTTGGAACTAGGATTTCTTGCTTAGAGATGGAATATTCCCTGCTACAGAAACTGTATTAACTTCTTTAGTGACAGTTTGTAACACACATCCTGGCTGTTTAATTGGATTTATCATGGCTATTGGGAGCATAAATGTGTTTACAGATTTGTTTTGAAAGCTTTTTTGTGTGTTTTTCTCATAGCAAGTCAACTTCCATGTGGTGCAATTATGTTCAAGATGTTCCCTGTAGCACTGGAATAATGTCAGATTATACTGTGTATGCATGTTATTCTTTGAAAGGATTTTATCTGAGGCATGATACACTGTGGCAGGAGGAGAAAAGAAGCTTAGTTTTTATTAAGAGAGGTATAAAAAGTATAAAACACAAAAATTTCTGTCAAATCCTGTTTCCTTATTATAGGAAATACTTGTCTCTGTCTATAGAAATGTGAAAGTTTTTCCCCTTTAACTTCCTTCCTGCTCCATCCAACTCTGCCAGAACTCAGTCCACACAGCTTGCCAGTGCTGTGCCACAGCCTTTCCAGCATTGAAAGGTTGAGGCAAATGCAGCAAGACATTTCAGAGACAAGCATTTAGGGGAAATGAAAGAAGAGATGACTTTCATTTGTTTTGAGAAGTGTCTTAGTTTTTCTTTGGCTTACTGTGTGACCTGGAAACCTGCAGTGTGTTTCATGCAGTGGAAGCCTGCTCACATCCCAGCCACAGAGCTGGCTCCAGAGGGATGCTGTGGTACAGGGAGCACCCTTGGGTGCCAGGGGCTACAGCACACAGTGCTTACTGTTAGATCTGTCTTATTTTTTTCTTTATTTCTTTCATTAGTATTATTATTAACTTGGATAACAATGCAACTTAAAGTGCAGTTTCC